ACCAACCCCACCCACAACACAGCCCTTAGGACCCTCAATCAGATGTTACAGTACCCACCACCTCCTGAGAGCCCCCACCAACCCCACCCACAACACAGCCCTTAGGACCCTCAATCAGATGTTACAGTACCCACCACCTCCTGAGAGAGCCCCCACCAACCCCAACACAGCCTGTCACAAATTACAGTACTCACCATCTCCTGAGAGCCCCCTTCCCCCTTCCATACACATACAATCCTAATTAGGACCCTCAGTCACACGTTACAGTACTCACCGCCTCCTGACAGCTTCAACACATCCTCAGAGGTCACAGGGGTCACATGGTCATCATCGTACATGAACCACTGATCTAAACAATTAGAAACAACATCAACATGACCTTGTAGGTGTAAATGTATGAATGCTTCCAAATTTTTGTAGTGCAGTTTGATTCCAACTTGATTGAATTGTGACTCAAATCAGACTTAAAAACTTCGACCTAAGCAGCTGGGCCCAGTTGTTCAAAAGGTGATTAGCTTAATCATTTTTAACAACATTTTTCAATCTGTAATAATTTGGTCAATTTACAAAGTAAAGCCTATACATTTTGCAAGTAACTTACTCTTGATATTATATTAGCTATCTGGAAATATAAAACTAAGTGAATGGTTATGTTTTAAAGATACACCAAAAATAGAATTTGCAATAATCACTGATTAAGCTAATCACTGATTAAGCTAATCCCCTTTTGAACAACTGGGCCCTGGATGGACACTCACTACATGTTTCGGCACTAGCATACATAGATTACATGTAGACAGACAACTGCTCCAGTTTCACATTCAGCTTTTTATCATTAAAACTTCTAAATATGGAAGCAATGTTTTCCTGTATATTCAAGCACTTTCAAGTTGGTCCAAGGAAGACATCAGAGAAACGATACAATAAATCAGCCGTTACAGACCATGCTAACACACACAACCACATCATAGACTAGAATTTGAGAAAGTGCTTAAAAGAGCCAATTGGAAAGTCAGGAAAATTAAAAAAAATCCATCTTAACCCCATTTTAACATCTAATAAGGGGCGGAATGGGTAAACATGTTACCCGTCCCCCTGACTGCCTGCAGTATTAGAGTGCGATTGGGTGAAATGTCTTATGATTTTGGACAGCTGATTTTACTTGATTCCGCACACCAGTCATTTATACTCTTTGCTTGACAAACGCAACAGACGTTTTCGAAAGGTCGCAAAACATCTTTGTTGGATACAATAATCAATATTGGTACTTGCTTTTGTTGATATCTCTACTATATCTAATTTATTGCAAACCCCCACCATTGTTTATGATCGGTTAATAGAGGATTTTGAAACACATATACCGGATACATAACATACTATCCACTAAAATTATGGTATTTTTTTTTTTAAATACTGGTTATTATTTAAGAAACAACATTATGCTGTGATGCTGTTAACAATATATTGTTGAATTCATTGTGATCAAGTTAAGTGTACAAAGGGAAGCAATCCTCTCTCAATAATATACCCAAAACTGGACATGTCAAACAGACATTAACCCTGTCACCACTGTAGACCATAATGGACTCATCCTAATAAATGCATGGAAGTGTCCACTAAAGTTACCTAGGGGTGAAAGCCACCCCTGTCGTCTCTGTAATGAGTGAATATACAGTATTAATACAGCGCTTATACATTCTGAAACGGGGACAGAAGTAACCGACCCTGGGACGGGCAGATCTAAATCTGTCTTACCCCAAGCCATGAAGACAGTCTCAGACTTATTCCCAACAGGGTGCTGCTTAGGATTAATCTTAGGTTTCTTTGCAGCAGGACCAGAATCCGGCGAAGAACTAGGACCACTGGAGCCCGGCTTCTTAAACAGAGCACCCGAACCCACAGATTTCCTCCTTCAAGTTCTTCTGCACAGCTGGGAGAACCAGGAGTTGGACCAATGAAGAGGGCTGTCAAAAGAAGAGAACGGTAGGGCTCCCTCACTTGCATGTTGGACAGAAAACCAGGGAGTGAGCATTACGTTACACAGCAAGGAGAGCTGAAGTGCCGCCACCGTTCGTAATGCCAAGTTCAGGCCAGACGTAAGTCAGTCCTGCATGTCCTGTCTTTCTTCTTCAGACAACCAATCCTCAGGCAGATCCGAAAGCCTGTACAAGGGCGTGAAACAAATCCACATACCAAAGGATATGAGGGGAGATATGCAACATCCTCTCTATCATGTGATGTTCCTTCGACGACTATGTACCTCCCCAAACTGATGTGCCCCCTGCAAAACCAAAAGGTTGAGAGCAGCAGCCACCAGACCCAGTTGTGCCAAACTAGGGTCCAGGTAAAGACCATCCCAAACCCAGAGACGACAGGAACACTGGACCCACCTGAGCCGGGCTGCTCCTCCCGAGAACCAGACTGAAGCTGGGAAGAAGGGCCCACCCCCCTAGACTGAAGCTGGGAAGAAGGGCCCACCCCCCTAGACTGAAGCTGGGAAGAAGGGCCCACCTACCTGCTCAACTACCAGCATTGTGAAAATGAATGAAAACGCACACAAAGCAAAAAAAATAACAGCACAAGAAACATGCAGGTAACAAAAGCATGTTACAAAGGAACGCAGCCACATGTCTATACACAGACGGTAAACTAGGCCAAAACATGGCCAACAATGGAACACAGCCACATGTCTATACACAGACGGTAAACTAGGCCAAAACATGGCCAACAAAGGAACGCAGCCACATGTCTATACACAGACGGTAAACTAGGCCAAAACATGGCCAACAAAGGAACACGGCCACATGTCTATACACAGACGGTAAACTAGGCAAAAAACATGGCCAAATAAGGAACACCGCCACATGTCTATACACAGACAGTAAACTAGGCCAACAATAAATGGGAAGTAGAATGGGCAAAAATAGCGGTGAACTGCTATATATAACGGGCAATATATACAAGACAATATAGTACAATACTGCCCTGTATATGTGGAATCTTGGCAGAGTCAACAGAGCACAGCCAGCCAGCTCAGTGCCATTGATAAAGAAAGACATGTTTGCTGTTGGTCAAAGGGGCCTCCCAAGGGAGTAAAAATAAGTTTTAAAACCTTAATTACCTCCTTTCCGCTTGACCCAAGCGACATAATGACCACTAGAACTGGACCTTCCCTTGTGCGTCAGAACAGCATTTAACTCATAGTAACCACTGTTGTTGGATCCAGGATCTAGACGAAACAAAACATCAGCCATAAAGTAAAATCTAAATGATCACCAAAAAGATGTCGTACACTGGTGAACATAAATCAACCAATCAATCTCCATATATCAATCCCCATATATCAATCTATTGTAAAATCCTTCATTATTTAAAGTAACTGCACTGCATTTATAAATTGAAATATATCAACTAACCTAAGGTTCATTTTGATCATAACATATTAAATGCTAACATTTTGTTAAAATTTGAGACAGTATTAAATGATGCAAAGTTTCTGTATATGCTTACCATTTTCAAACTCATATGGTTCTGTTTCCTTATCTGTATGTTTTATATCAGCTTCGTTCTTTTGTTTCACTAGTCCTGCTTCTTTTTCCTGTAAATAGATAAAGGTCAGTTATAGTGAACATTTACATTAAAGTTTATTTTATTTTTGCTTTTTACCATCCAAATAACACTTCAGAAATGATAAGTATAAGCTGAATTTAGAAAGAAAGTACATATCAATGCCTGGACTCTGTAGTGTTGACATGACCACTAACCACACTTCTATAGCTACTTCCTGTCTACAGTGAATACCACACATATATAGCTACTTCCTGTCTACAGTGAATACAACACATCTATAGCTACTTCCTGTCTATAGTGAATACAGCACATCTATAGCTACTTCTTGTCTACAGTGAATACCACATATCTATAGCTACTTCCTGTCTACAGTGAATACCACACATCTATAGCTACCTCCTGTCTACAGTGAATACCACACATCTGTAGCTACTTCCTGTCTACAGTGAATACTGCACATCTATAGCTACTTCCTTTCTACAGTGAATACCGCACATCTATAGCTATTTCCTTTCAACAGTGATTACCGCACATCTATAGCTACTTCCTTGCTACAGTGAATACCACACATCTATAGCTACTTCCTGTCTACAGTGAATACCGCACATCTATAGCTACTTCCTGGCTACAGTGAATACCGCACATCTATAGCTATTTCCTGTCAACAGTGATTACCGCACATCTATAGCTACTTCCTGTCTACAGTGAATACCATACATCTATAGCTACCTCCTGTCTACAGTGAATACCACACATCTGTAGCTACTTCCTGTCTACAGTGAATACAGCACATCTATAGCTACTTCCTGTCTACAGTGAATACCACACATATATAGCTACTTCCTGTCTACAGTGAATACCACACATCTATTTAGCTACTTCCTGTCTACAGTGAATACCACACATCTATAGCTACTTCCTGTCTATAGTGAATACAACACATCTATAGCTACTTCCTGTCTACAGTGAATAGAGCACATCTATAGCTACTTCCTGTCTACAGTGAATAGAGCACATCTATAGCTACTTCCTGTCTACAGTGAATACCACACATCTATAGCTACTTCCTGTCTACAGTGAATACCACACATCTATAGCTACTTCCTGTCTACAGTGAATACTACACATCTATAGCTACTTCCTGTCTACAGTGAATACTACACATCTATAGCTACTTCCTGTCTACAATGAATACAGCACATCTATAGCTACTTCCTGGCTACAGTGAATGCCACACATCTATAGCTACTTCCTGTCTACAGTGAATACCACACATATATAGCTACTTCCTGTCTACAGTGAATACCACACATCTATAGCTACTTCCTGTCTACAGTGAATACCACACATCTATAGCTACTTCCTGTCTACAGTGAATACCACACATCTATAGCTACTTCCTGTCTACAGTGAATACCACACATCTATAGCTACTTCCTGTCTACAGTGAATACCACACATCTATAGCTACTTCCTGTCTACAGTGAATACCACACATATATAGCTACTTCCTGTCTACTGTGAATACAACACATCTATAGCTACTTCCTGTCTACAGTGAATACCACACATCTATAACTACTTCCTGTCTACCGTGAATACCACACATCTATAGCTACTTCCTGGCTACAGTGAATACCACACATCTATAGCTACTTTCTGTCTACAGTAAATACAGCACATCTATAGCTATTTCCTGTCTACAGTGAATACCACACATCTATAGCTACTTCCTGTCTACAGAAATACCACACATCTGTAGCTACTTCCTGTCTACAGTGAATACCGAACATCTATAGCTACTTCCTGTCTACAGTGAATACCACACATCTATAGCTACTTCCTGTCTACAGAATCACCACACATCTAGATCTGTAGCTACTTCCTGTCTACAGTGAATACCGAACATCTATAGCTACTTCCTGTCTACAGTGAATACCCCACATCTTAAGCTTCTTCCTGTCTATAGTGAATACCACACATCTATAGCTACTTCCGGTCTACAGCGAATATGTGTNTCTACAGGTTAGGAGCTTTCAAATTGTTTCACACGTACAAAGTTTAGGGGGTTTGTGATTACCGATCAATTTTTGTGTAACACTGAATTCCGTGACACTTTGCTTGGATGTGGTAGAGTAAAGTTAATTTCATTTACACGAAAATAGAATCTACAACATTTTCATTATTAAATTCTTTTGCATATGTTTCTTCGCTGTTGTTACAAGATAATCATTATACATGTACAATGTTTATACTTTTATGTGCATATCTTTTATTTAAATTCTTTCTAGTTGTAGTAATATTTGTTGTATTTGTATTCGTGGTTCCAAAGCAACACAAGTTTATGCACAACAAACAGTTCATGTTATACAAAACAAACATGAAATATTATAATGGAACTTGATGGCAGAATCACATTTTGAGAGATAGCAAACCAGAGATTTTAAAACTATTTATATGGCTAAGAGTCTGAGTAAAATAATACTATAACATCAATTTGAGGTATGTAGTGAGTGCTACACCTTGTTCAGTGCATCATAGGATAAAAAGAATCTCAAACTTGTTCCTGTGTGAGAAGAACCCATTAATGTGATGACATATGAAATGGTATGAGTATGAACACACCCTTTTTCTGACATGCAGAACTATTTGTAATGTTTGTGATTACATCTAAACACAATTTCAAGCAAGTCCGTGAAATACATAAATAAGCATTTGGATCACTTTAATGGTTTCTTTGCAATAAAATTTTGCTTGCCGAAATATATTATTAAGTCATTTCTCAGAACAAAACATTTCCCACTTACATCTCTGAAATTACAGAGAAGCCTGCTAACACTCGGAAATAAAAATGTTATTGAAGAATTTCTTTTTTCCATGTATTTCAGCCGTAATATTTCAACCACCTATGTTACAGAAATCTGTTAACGACACAGTTTTTTGCCGAAGTTACCAACTATGGAACAGCACACTTGAATTATTCGATAACTAACACAAACCTTTTGCAGCCTTTCTGCATCCCTGTCTTCCATTTCCTTAAACTTGTCTCTGGTTGTTGATAGCCTTTCCTGTAGTTCTGGTGTGCACAGTTCGTACATGTCCAGACTTATGGGAAATTTTACATCCTTAAAAAAAATAACTCAATATATAACAATGGAGACAAAAACTGTTGATCCAGTTCTAATCAGTAATCAGTGTTACCCTTTATAAACGTATGGACATTTCCATCTGGTGACCATTTCTACAGTTAATATAAATATGGGATAATTTAACAATTTCAACCTTTGGAAAGAATTGTTTAAACTACAATCTTAAAAAAATATGTACATCTGTATTTACGAAAATTTAAAGTCTTAAGTATACAGTAACTGTACTTATTATGTAGGTAGTATATATCACTACATTTCTGATCTATTTTTCTTTCTATTTTAATTCTAGGAAAAAATCATAGACTTTCATGGTATTATAGAATTTTTAGTTTTAGTAAGTGTATATACAACATGTTTTTGTATTGGCAGGGATGGTCATTGTCTATGAGAACTTGTTTTTGTATTGGCAGGGATGGCCATTGTCTATGAGAACTTGTATGTACATTGTATTCAAGAACTTACCTTCAAAATTTTGGCATTAATGTTGTCTTTTTCTTTATAGTAGAATCGCACGAATTGAATAGCTAGGTATCCAGGTAATCTGCTTATTTTACTCTGAAAGAAAATTAATTTTAATATTTTCACAATTTACCCCATTAAATCATGAAGAGAGACAAGAAATCAAAAAGTCATATGAAGAAAGACTCCTCGTCTATTATGCTGTTAACGTTCAAATAAAGTTTTTTGAAAATACACTAATGATTTAATCACTACATATACTGTCATTTTTTACTTCATTGTACCTTAACTCATTGACTCCTGAAGTTTCATAATGAACTATTCCAACTTTTGAATTGGAAGGGTTCAAATGTGTCGTCTGGGGTAAATGAGTTAATTGTCATCAAACTATCTACCAGACACTCCACATCTTGTTATTTAAAAATGTTTCTGGTTTCTATTTCATTTATACCATGTTTGTTGGAAGCCTACAACACTACAGTGCTAAGGGTCAAATTGTTCCTGTTTGTGACATTAGATAACATTTCTTGACTCTTGACTCTTCACAGGTTCCTTCCAGTTTAATGTAAGGAAAAGATAACTCTGTATTCCCAAAACAGAGCTCGCAGCTGCTTATATCCCATGACCACAACAGAAATGACATTATAAGACCACTGCCGTGATTTGTGTGACTACAATCAATTTACCAGTTACATATATTGGGAAGTACTCACCCATACAGGTAAATGATACATCTGGGAAAATGTCAATCAGTATACTTTTTTAATTTAAACACATTTCTATTGTCATAAATAAGGACAATTTAGGATTGAGCACAAGTTTTGCCAACTTAGTAATGCCCTCTCCTTATACATCATGTTGTATAATACTTAATGGACAGCAATGAATCAACTTTATCCGATCGTGTAGTAGAAACAGTGAGAGAAGGAAAGCAGGAAGCTGTAACCTTACATAACATAAACAAGAAAATCACAGTAGGAAGCTGTAACCTTACATAACATAAACAAGGAAATCACAATCTGGGAATAAAGGTTTTGGATCAAGACTTGCAACAGCCTTTCTGTGAACCATGGTTTGTTTTATTTGAGATGAGGTTGATAGAATCTTTCACCCCTTGGGGGTGAGATAGGGGAATCTCAACACTGGGAGGAAGATTCTTAAGTTGCCAAACACGAGGCTTTGTTGAGTGTTACTGACAACCAAAGAACCTTTCCCCGAGGGTTAAGATTTCCCTATGTCACCCTAAGGGGATTGAGTGATTCTTTTTCTCTTACCTTGTTCACCCATTGTGTATTATATCATAATGTAATGTGAACGCTACAGGCTAAATTCAGAGTTGACATGACCTTGATGGATTGTTGATGTGACGTCCTACCATTGTTATGAATAGGGAAATCCCCTGGCTCAACCCTAGGGTGAGACCAGGATATCTCACACTGCTACAGGGTGGATACACTAGGGTAAGAGACCTCTCTGTCTACATCACACAGAGATAGATATTTATAATTAGTGATATTAACAATATAGATAGATACTCACACTCTTCTTGTAGAGGGAATCTCTCCCTAAGGTTGGGGAATGCTTAGTGATAGCCTCTTCTAACCTCTACAACACAACAACACAGACTTTTACAATGTAGTAATATGATATAGCATGCTCACTTGCCCTTCAGGCAGGTGACCTCAAAATAACAATAAGGTAAGAATTGATTACAAGATTGTGGCATATGGACAAGATTAAAACTTGTGATCATTTGTACCCGAGGTTGCCACTATCAAAGAGTTTAATTTACTTGTTCAATTCAAAAAGTTTAATTTACTTGTAATCAATTCAAAAAGTTTAATTTACTTGTAATCAATTCAAAAAGTTTAATTTACATTTAATCAACCAGATATGTAAGATAAGTCAAACAATGAGTAAATAACATATACTTACATTTCGTAATCCACTGTGCATATATTTGACCTCTGAAATAAAGTTCAATAATAAATGACAGTACACTGTTGTTAAATATTAAAGCTATTTTCATTCTTGATTTTCAGTGGAATTAGTAAGGTTTCATTCCCTCTACAAAGCAGCCGACCTTATTAAGTTTTTCTATACTTGATAGAGTGTGAAGACTATCTTTGTAAGTAGCAGACCTGATAGGATTATTCTATATACTTTATGAAGAGTTATGTCCCCTACCTTTCTCTATGAAGCAGCTGAGCTGGTAAAGCTTCTCTATTGACTTGGTGGAAGGTTCGTCCTCGGCCTCCTGACACTGGAGCGTCACTTCAGAGTCGATGCCCATATATTTATCTATAAATGAGGCACTACTTGATGCTCCAGCCTCAGCTCCCTAAATATGTATAAAATTCACAGTTGTTGTCTTAAAATATATTTACTTGGCGAACATTTGATTACAACAACAGGTTAAACTTGAAAAGTCATCAAATCATTTTCAGGCCCACATAATATGTATTCTTTGAAAAGATATGCACATCAAAATCAAAAGCCCAAATTTATACATGTATTTTGAAAATTCTTAGGTACTTCAATTAGTCAAATTCTATAGTATGAAACAGTAAAGGACATATATGGCTTATACTGTAACAGATCCTTGTTAGTGTTGGAAATTTATACCTTTTACAATATTTCAACCTAAACAAGGTTACCGCGAGCGGTATATAATACGCCCGTCACACATNAAAATTTCTGGAGAAAAAATATAAAGAGACTAAAACAATTCCACAACACAGATTCTATCAGATAATGGTAGATTACGAATTCTAAATAATTTAACTGGACACAGGTTTCAAAACAGTCATAAAACAAAAATGGAAGGGCACCATCAACAAAAGGAATTTGCGATCCTTAACTCATTCACCCCTGAAATTTCATAATGAACTATTCTAACCTTGGAATTGGAAGAGTTCAAATGTGTCTTCATGGGGGAATGAGTTAAATATTGTATATCTATTTCTATGTAAAACTTTACCTGGACTGCTGGCACTTTGACCTTTTGTTGTAAGCACCTGACTATTTCAGTCCAACACTCATTGGCGTCCTGTAACAGTCAAGCAAAGACATGGTCAGTCATCCTACTCAATTACAAGGGACGAGCTATGTTGTATGTATTAACTCAAAAAGTAGCTCTTATACCAGAATATATAACCCTGCGGTCTCTTAGAACATTTGTGAAATTATTTTACCAAGACAACTTTAAAGTTTTTTGTTTCAGTAACTTTAATTTAAAAGCATTTACATTGTATCTGATGCAAGTGGTTCGTTTTTGTATTAATCTTACATAAGTTAAAGGGCACCAATTCAAAAATATGGAACTTTACCTAATTTAAGACCACATCAATATACTGCAAGCAATATTTTGACAAAATCTGTTTTTGCCAGAAAAAAACACATAGTTTTAATCCCCCCGGGTTATTCATACCGACCTGTTGAGCATAGCCTCCATGTTCAGATTTCTCAGCAAACTGAGGATATGCCGTGTGTAGTACTTGGAGAAAGATGATGGGAGGAATGGCTGTTCCCGCTTTCTCTACAGAGACACACAGGTCCCTCATTGCTATAACAGACAAGTTTTCACCATTTAACATGATTCTACTTCTGTAAACAAGTAATAGATCCTTATTGTAGTCAACTAAAAGTAATACGGTAAATCTCTCATGGTGTCATCAATTATAGGCATCAATCTCTCATGGCGNTACAGTAAACTTTACTACACTGTAGGTCATCAGTACATTCTAGCCTAGATATTGTATTCACAGTAAACTTAACTATACTGTAGGTCATCAATACATTCCAATAACACAAACAAGATTCAGTCATAATGCCAACTGTCAGTAATATAAACACAATATTCATTTATTTGTCATCAAATTTTATGAAAATTTCAGAAACATTAAATGAGTCTATGGACGTGATTATCGGAGAGTGTTACCTGCTGTGATGGATTCAGCAGGAGGAGCGGCTCCACTCAAGGTTATGTCCCCTTTGTACCTGTAATTCAAAATCATCACATGTTTGTTTGTTTATGTTTAACAGCCCATCGACGGCTGTGGTTATTTAGGGCCATGGTGATTTTTTTTATTTTTTTATTTTTTTAACAAACTTGTGAGTAGCGAAGATAAAATCAGATTAAAAGTTTCATTTTAAAAGCATTCGCATTGTATGTGTAAATAATTAAAATAGAAAGGGGGTTGAAATAATAAAAGAGATAACGAATAGATGATATGGACTATGTGATATATATAACGTCAAAAAGGGTAAGGTGGGTTAAAAGACATCAGAGTCTATAGAATAGACCGAAGTCTTTCAAATAGTTAAATAATGCCTTCGAGTCCACGGCTCTGAAAAGATTTTTCATATCCGGGACTCAAAAGTAGTTATTGCGAATGTGTTTAAAATCTGAACATTCTATTAAACAAGAGGCCCAGAGGGCCTGTATCGCTCACCTGGATACCAAAGCAATCATGGCAAAATATTCTTCGAATGAGATCAAGGGAATATGCCAGACCCCAAGGCCAATCCTTGTAGCATATCTGTATTAGATTTTTCATGCCCAGCAATTTTATGTATGGTTATGGGGTGGGGATCTCATCTGTTTCCAAGCTTTGACTCAGAAACTAGGTCCCTAGGGTTGTGGCCAGACCCCAGGATCAATTCTAATATCGTGACTGCATTTGTCTCTTTTTGCCCAGCATTTTCATATATAGTTTTGGGGTGGGGATCTCAACCATTTCTAAGTTATGACCCAGGGGTTAAGTCTGCAAGGGTGGGGCAGACCCTGGGGTCAATTCTAATATCATGACTGCATTCGTCTTTTTATGCCCAACAATTGTATATATAGTTTTGGGGTGGGGATCTAAACCATTTCGAAGTTATGACCCAGGGGTTAAGTCTCCAAGGGTGGGGCAGTCCCCAAGGCCATCCTGGAAGCATATGTGCAATCATCTCTTTATACTCNGACCAGGTGAGCTAAAAATGTTCCACTGTAAATGGAGTGTCAAATAGGGTGTCATTTAACCCTAACCCTAACTCAAAATCATCCCGTGTAAACACTCACAGGTAACCATCACACAATAGACCCATGGAAATCAAAGCTAAAGAAGTTGGTCAGTTTCTTATTCCTTCTATAACATTTAAATTATTTCTTCATTTAATAAATAATATATTTTATGGCATTTTTGGTCACATTACAGAGATGCTCATTTGTTATGATGTGCGTGTAATTTTGTGTCACCAGTCCTTTACACCCGGTGACCTTAAGATTCCCTCAACAAAATAGTATAATACAAATATATAATAATACTTTTTCAGGGCATCTGTGAGTTCTGGAATTGATCGAAGACATTGGATGGTAGCATTCATATAACAGGTGTTTCCAAGGTTGGTCAGACCACTAGGAATCTCCAGCTGTAAAAACAATCAGGTTATATAAACATAGATACAACTTTATTTATTTTACAACAACTATGAAACAAGTTATATCAACTTATATTAATAACTCTTGTTGGCCCGGATGTTAGCATGTAGGGGTGGGGTGGGGGGTCTTAGTCAGTGTGGGAAGAAACTGGAGTACCCAAAGAAAACCCACATAGTCGGGTAGGTGACCCTAACATTTTCACGTCCGATCGGGGAATCGAACCCTGGCCGCCTTGGTGAAAGGCAAGTGCGCTATCCACTGCACAACCCGACCACCCTGACAAATGATAACAAATGATATATACAGTACTATCTGAGTATAAACTTATTATTTGTACTAAAGAGCATAATCAAAACTTTCGACATTCTGTCAAACAAAGAAATATATCTAATATGGTAGTCTCCAACTCTATGCATAGTTGTTATTTCCATTCCTGAAATAATTCCTTACTGCAGATGCCAGCTGTTCCTCACTCATATCTTCCATGAATACTGTCTTCTCCACCGGCTCCTGGGGTAGTTCCTCTGCTGTTCCCATCATCAGGAGCATGGCGCCCTGATCACAGATTCAAACATTTGTTATCATATCATATAAAACAGATTTAAGTAGTTGAGTTCGTTTTAATCTCAACCATTGGTTTATCAGGGTACCATTAGGTCCATTTAAAGGACACATCCCCAATTGAAGAAGTGCATGATTTTTCACAATTTACCGCTTTAAAACAACTAATTGGGAAACCCCAAAAATTAAATAAGTTCCTCAAAAATTACTTGAGTTCTGAAAATGTAGGAAGGACAAAAAATCATATTGTCATAAAGACAAGCTTAAATGAAAGTTGAACCGTCTACCTTGTAATTTCATGCAATCAGAGATGTTATAATGACCATTCTAATTTTCAGAAATAACCAAACTAATGTACAACTATAAACTGTACTCACAGCCTTCAGTTTCACTTTTCCCCAGTCATCATCCTATAAAAATACAAATTTACAGGAAATTAGCAACAACAACAAAGGTTGTTTATTCATCAATCAATTAACAAAAGAGTATTGTAACTAATGGTGGAGTTGTTTTAAGATACTACATGATACACATTATAGATCAGACTCATCCTTAAGACCAAAAAAGACACCTTAAAAAAATTCTCTCTTTTTTTAAAAGTTTTCAGCATTACAAAATATCTTACAAAAGTAATTCTCACACTCACTTGTTCATTCTTGCAACATTATATCTTGCGTATCAGACTGTATATGTATTTCTCACTTCCCATACATTGATACAAATGTATCTAATTGTCTAATTTATTTTTGAAGTTAATGCATTGATTTTTTTTTAATTAAAGTTGCAATGTAAAATTTGTCTTTAAATTATAAAATATCTTGAAAAAACACAACAACAGAAAAACAGTCTGTGTTCAAATTTTCAAAATAGTACAATGCATATATATGGTCACCATGAACTTTAACCACATGATCAGTCACATGGAGTATTACCGGGTCATAGCAATATACGATTGTCTCATACCAAAGAGACATGCTTCCTTATAATGTTGTTTAATTTAAATAAATACTGGAAGTCAGTCACTTAAGTCTGACTTGCCTTCAAAACAGCTCCCTTCATCATGACCTTCTGTCTCTCTGGCTGGACACCTGACAAAGCGAACAGTTGAGCCTTGAGGACAATTGGGGGCTCGTCTGTGTTACACTCCACATCACTGAACTTCTCCTTCCCCCACTTGACATTAACTGTAAGGATAGAAATTGATTACATTCATTTATGATAACTTAAATAAGGGCAGTGAATCACTCAAAAGTAATTGATACAATTTTAATAGGAAAGAGAATACTGTGCTTCCACTGGGGATCGAACCCTCGGTCTCCAGGTTCCTAGTCGGACGCTCTACCACTGAGCTAAAGGGAAATTCCCTCTAGCTCGCAGCTAGAAGGCGACCTTAATCCTATGTACAATTAAAACCTGAGTGCCACACAATATATCAATATGTAGACACAAAATGACTGAATGTTCTGTTGATTTATCATGCAATATTATTGTCTGTAAAAGATTGTCATGAGTATAATTATAACATATAGGAAATGCCAGATATATATCCCAAGATGGAAAGCTAGTAGGTCTGTGGTGATTCCTCCCTTGCTCACAATGATCTTTAGGTAGATATTATATGCAGTCCTCTCCCCATTCACATTTGTCGATGTGCTCTATTTACCACACTACATTTTCTTTCCAACATTGTACTTTACTGAAGCATAAACTAATGAACTCAAATACTGCTGGTTGATGAAAGGAAAGGAATACATTGTGTATTGTTTCACTTATTTTCACTGACACATTTCTGATTTACATACTGGACATTGTGTTTTATTCATTAATACGCAAGTTCCAAGAATTTTCGGAACGGTAGCCTAAATGTTAATTTCAGCAGCACTTGCATAGTTTTGTTACATGGTTGGACAGAGACAGAACGACAAATTTGCATGAATATAATGACACATCTGATGCTTAGAGTAACAGGAAAGTAAAAATACAATGGTCAGACGGGTATTTGAACCTGGAATCTCCTTACTCAAGACAGATGCCCTAAGCAATTGAGCTACCTGGTCACTGGCAAACAACCCAGTCTAGCCCAAGGTCCTCTGTATTCCTCCTCATTTGAACAATTAAAAGTGTTTGACCCCCGTCAACATGACAGCATATAACTACAGTTAGTTTATTGCCTTCATGGATACCTATAGCAGCCGCTATTAGTTAAACATTATTACAGTGCCAAACGTGCCAAAGGCCATTATATTTACACGGTATCCTATTTGCTATTTTTATATTCTATTATTATGTGATAGACAATAGTTCTACAAATCTTATTCTCAGGCGTCACATTAAAATATGTAGACTGAGTGTCAATCCTATAATGACGGAGTGTTTATTCTCACTAAATTTTAGATTCTGGTCAAATATAATATACTTGAAACATGCAAACAGTCAACGATCAAATAAACTTCAAAAGCATGACTGGTGAATGCCGGCACACATGACAATGCAATTTGTGGGTGAATTTCGGTCTGTAACTTCAAATTATTGATATAATTCGCTGGTGTGATTTCATGTTTATGTATTGTGATTATTTAAATTCAAACCGATAAAATAACCTTTATATGTTGGCATTTTCCAAACTTAAAATCGTGTTCACTTCTCCAACTTGCTGCTTTTTCGACAGGAAGTTATCGTCTGTCGGTCGGCTCTATGCGCAGGTGCATCATTATGATATAGTTTCGCAGTGAAGCTGTGATTTTCGGTAAATACACATTTTTTTTTAAAGTATCTCAATGTTAACATTCCATTTTGTATCTTATATTTTTTATTAACCTACTTTTAGTCTATTTGATTAATATTACGTTAAACCTTGAAATTATGTATACGTTAGTCACGGACTGAATAAGTTAGCTTCCGAAGAAACGGGCACCTGCCATTGACTTCTGATTGGAACAGACAGTTAAGTAAAGTTTTGAATTAACTGTCACGACGGCATATTCCCCAGATCTTGCGTGTAATGGTAAGTTTTATGTTATGTAAAAGTTATACCTCTAATTTAGAAGTGGTCATAGTGTAATAATCTTGGTACGGTCAGCTTATTAACTTTCATACTTCACCTGTGACGGTGTGTTGTGAAGCCTGACCACTCAGCAGCCTATCCTGTTGTTGTGTGCAATATATGTGTGTGGCTAACTATCATAATTTTGACTCTTATTCATTGAAATTATAGAAGTTATCTTTATTTCTGATAATTTAAATATTGTTGATTTATACCCCCAAAAAAATAATATCATAAATCTTCCTAAAAACAATGACAGAATTTTTCTGTAACTATTAAGAAAATAAATCTTATATGAAGTAGATAAATAAGGGTGTGACCTAATGAGGCTAATCAGCCAGCACACATATGAAACAAGAAATGCAGCAAAAATGCTGCACACCAAATATTTTTTCATGAAATGACGAACTGACAGTCCAACAACCTCGAGATAAATTGTTAATGGCATTAATTTTGTCGTTCAGAATATTCCGTTTCATGTCAATATCCTTACATTTGCACTATTCAGTATTGTCATTCAATAATTGCCCCACTGCATGCAAATGTACATTTTTATATACATAGTTTAAATATTAACGATTAGGCAATAATGTCATCTTCTGAGAAACAACATTTTTTCAAATATTTCTTTTGACAATGTACCTCTAGATCTGGGGATAAAAAATAAACCGTCTTCTTGGTTAAAGCATCAATTGTAGTCCCCCCCCTCCTCCTTGAATAATAGTTATTACATCTCAAGATTATTACGAAGACACATTTTGCCACACCGCTGGTTATTGGTTGTAATCACAAATATGCTTCAATGAAATTTTCTATTTCTTACATTTTTTCACATCCACCACAAAAATATTGCTACATCAGAAAAGGGCATATGTTAAGCCTATCTTTTGACGCCAAGTTCCTATGATGTCACGCTTCTGTACAATACATGTACAGAGCGCCATTTTGAATGGGTTTTCACTGCAATTTTGCCGTTTGCTGCTACATAATTAAGTGGTATGATTTCCAGACAAAAGTTATACTAATAATGTACATATGTAAAAACAAGAATGTATGCTGCATAAGTGGAACACACAACCACTTATTCTGACTTCATCTAAATTTAAAACTGAAAATCTACACAGAGATTATATAATTAGAATGTACCGTTCAGATTGGACCATACTAAGAGGGACGTCTTCACTTATGAAGGTATAATATTTCGTATATCTTCACTGCATTGAAAATATGTTTTTATCAAATTGGAGAAATCATGATAATTCACTAGTAAACTGTAATACCGTCTGGTTTACTATCATATTTTTGTAGACAATATGCAGCCTTAATTTCCCAGAAGGCTTTCACGCATGGGGAAGCAATGGAAGTGGACAAAGTGTTTACAGGTCAAAACCCTGGGGGCACAAATAGCGCCGCTTGGGGATTTGAAAAAACTTTTCTGGATTATTTACATTTTGTGTGTAGTTCTTAAAGTATAGTAAACATCCAATCCTTGCATAACTTAATGGTACCCTTGGGATTTTTTGGGGGGATGGGTGGTGTAGCTTATAATATAAGGATCCCCATCCCTCCCCAACCCCTGCCAGCACGCAGGATTTTCTTTCAAAACATGTGTCCCCATAAAGCCATTTTGAATCCTCTCACTGGCTCTGCCACTGTTTATTTAGCAGGGGCGTAGCTAGCTGGCCCTTATTCAGAATGGATTCATTTAGGAACAGTTCCAGGACTGGGCCATGGGGATTAATTTCCATTAATGCTTCAGGGAATGAAACAGGCATATTTCTGGGACAACTGCTTCGAAGGATGAAACACCTAAGTTCCAATTCTACAACAAATGCTTCTATTGATGTGAAGCAGGCCAAGTTTGGTAATACAAGATCCAGGGAAAGAAACAGGCCGGGTACAATGACCCCATGGCCAGGTACTAGACATAATAAAGACTTAAAAAGGACAGTTTATGTTGTTCCTTGTAATGAATTAATTGAATCTGAGCAAGGTATCGATGCAATAATAAAATTCTGCTTACCTCTAAATTAAAGAATAAATGTGAAAAATAGGAAGGCACAGACTCGTTCTTCATCAAAAATTTGGACACCAGTTAGAAATTTCTGTGTTTAGATGGTAATAAATTATATAACCTCTGACACAGTTTTCCTTAATATTTGAAGTAAATGGCCTGATGTTGACAGCACCTTCCTGGTGTGGATCCCAAGCAGAGGATCTATATATCTTAGTTTGGTTTAATTTTGTTTAACATTCTACTAACAGCTAAGGTAATTTAAGGACGTGCCTTCATGTGTGTAGTGTATGCACGCTTGCGTGTGTGTATGCAGGAGACGGGTATGTTGGTGTGCTTGCCTCTTTGTGATAGCGCGGATCTGATGCCGACTTCATAGTGCTATCTCACGGAAATACCATGCCAAAGGCACCCAGCACAGCATTCCCCCCGTTCACATTATACTGACAACGGGTGAACCAGTTGTTGCCATTCCCCTAAATGCTGAACGTTAAGCAGGGAATAACAACTACCATTTTTAAAGACTTTGGTATGTCCCGGCCTGGGGACAGAACCCATTGCCTTCCTCACCTGGGCAAACGCTCAACATTAAAGCCAAAAGTGAGGTGTTGCCAAGCAAGGCGCTAGGAAATAAAAGGTAGTTATATAATTAGAAGTAGAAAGAAAGATAAATATCCCAAATATTGCAATGGGTGCAGCAGATTTATTTTGTTCACTTTTGTGTCCATAAATAGAAGACACCATAACAAATCCCCAATTCTGCAGGGGTTTCCCACATCAGTCGCCTCCTACATGTACAATACATGCCGTGGGTAACAGCAGGTGTATTCTTTTCCCCGATTCCCCATTTAGGATGAACTACAGTATTATGAGAAAGACATAAAATAACATTTACACTTTACTTAATCAGTATTGTTTTTAAGTTCTTCTTGGATATCAACTAGAATGTTGGAACTGATTTGATCAAAATGTTACTTGCACCGCTAATTTAGTACTGGAAATGTTTCCATAATGTTCCAGAATGTGTTAATTTGAATAACAGGTATTTGTGGAAAATCATATGCAAAGTTCTGAATTGGTACCAAAATTATTGCCACCAGCATTTTTCATTTAACATAAATCAATGACCATTTCGATTCACTTTGGTGAGATTTGAATAAAATTTGTTCTATAATATTTTCTAGGTACAAATACAGTTTGTTCTACAATATTTTCTAGGTCTGTGTCTTACATTACATCTGCTGGACAGGCCTTCGTTACATTACATTGTACCTTTAATTATATATACATGTATGTATAATAAGTAGACTGCTAGCTCCACGTCTTACATTACAGCCCATTCAGGTATTGTTGAGGCATTCTAATAAGCTTGACACCTTTTGTATCGACAGACTTGGAAATAAATGGAATTGTCTAGATCTGCATTCAGAACATCCTGTGTTGTAATTATGTCAACTTTGTAAAACGTCTCTCTGCTAAGTTTATGAAGAGTGATCATTGATCAAGATCTTCTTTTCAATCAGATACACATTGTTCCATTTTAGCAACACATCATACATAGGACACACTAGATTGGTAAGATAATCCTATGCATTTCTCCCTTTAGACCAAATATAACAAATCTGTGTTTCTACTTTTACTACCTGCCTAGAATTTAGTGCCTTAGCTAGGTTATCTTTTATGTTTTATTTGATTTTTTTTAAAGGGGCACTTTAAAGTCTGAAAAGCTGTATCTATATTTTTAAAAGAAAGATCAGTTATTTATACTCTGAATTCCTGTTTCTATATATATAACATTTGTAAAAAAATGTTTCGTAAATAATAAGTTTTACCACGGAACTAGATTATCTAAGTCCGTGGTTTTACTTTCAGCATGTAACTGTACCTACATACATACCCTGTGTTAAATGCCAACAACAGAAACACAAAATTTATTTCATTTGTACTTTCTGTAGGTAAATTATTTGGAAAATTATATATTGATTAAAACCCTATTAAATTTCACTGATTTATCTCAAGATTATTGCATACAATGTTATACACGATCTAACTACGACAAGAGCTGCATAATCGCTATGTACACATGTATGAAAACAATATGGTTTCCGCTCTCAAAAAAAATAAAGGAAGGAAAGTTTGCAATATATTTTACAAAGGTTATTATATAGAGAGAAAATGTCCTACTTTTAAAGTAATTATTTGAAATTAGTGGAAAAAAACTGGTTAACACTAAAATCTATATGGAAATGCATTTATTTCATGAATTATTGATATTTTAAACGACAAAAAGTAGAAAGAATTTAATTCAATTTAAAAGGGATTAAGTTTTAAAAATGGTTCAGTTATTCCAAATTTTTATCATTGTATTTATAAAAACAACTTTTCTAGACAGGTCAAACAATAAATTAATTGCAGTCCTGTTGTGTTATCCAATTTCTTGTGGATGTAGATTTTTTAAATGAGTAATGTAATCTTTTAATATCACATAAGTATTTTACCTGTTGACTCAGAAATCAATTTGGTGAAACATTTTCCATCATTACACATGTTTCTACGAGAAAATTTCAAGATTTAGTTTCACAAAAGAACAGTTTTAAATGTAATAAATCCCAATAATTGAAGTTGGTTGTACTTGGAGGTGGTTGTTAAATACTGGGGTCATATTATGAATGTGATATACGGCAACCTTAATCTCATTAGCTGGTCTTTTTCCTAGCTAACACACCACGACACGCCGTCTTTTTGTGTCACCGAAAAATGATAATTTCTTGCATAGTCTGTGTACACCATTTAAATTATTATTGAAAACGGAGATTTGCAGACAATGGGGGTGTGGTAGAAAATCCCGTCCATTGAGGTATTAACTTGTGGTGCTCTGTGCCTGGTTTACTTATTGATTTGTAACAAACAAACATGCTGTAGAACGAGCCTTGAGTGACTTACGGCA